CTGTGGCTCAAGTGGTAGAGCGCTAGCCTTGAGCTGAAGAGCTGAGGGACAGCGCCCAGGCCCAGAGTTCAGGCCCCACAACCAGACCCCCCCCCAAAAAAAAATTCTAGACTAGGGCTGGGAATGTGGCTTAGAGCTAGAGTGCTTGCCTAGCATGCATGAAATCCTGGGTTCGATTCCTCAGTACCACATAAACAGAAAGGGTAGAAATGGCACTGTGGCTCAAGTGATAGAGTGGTAGCCTTGAGCAAAAGAAGCTCAGGGACAGTACCCTGAGTTCAAGCCCCAGGACTGATCCAGGTGCCAGTGGCTCACACCTGTAATCCCAGCTACTCAGGAGGCTGAGATCTGAGGATCATGGTTCAAAGTCAGTCTCTGGGGCAGGCAGGAAAGTCTGTGAGACTCTTATCTCCAATAAATCTCAGAAAAGCTAGAAGTGGCACAATGGCTCAATGGTAGAGTGCTAGCCTTGAGTCAAAAGAAGGAGCCCAGGGATTGCACCCAGGCCCAGAGTTCAAGCCCCCACAACTGACAAAAAAAAATCTGGGGGGCTGGGAAGGTGGCTCAGTGGTAGAGCGCTTGCCTTGCATGCTCGAAGCCCTGGGTTCGATTCCTCAGCACCACATAAGCAAAAAGAAAAAAGCCGGAAGTGGCACTGTGGCTCAAGTGGTAGAGCCCTAGCCTTGAGCTGAAGAGCCGAGGGACAGCGCCCAGGCCCAGAGTTCAGGCCCCATGATCAGACCCCCCCCCAAAAAAAAATCTGGACTGTAGTATGACTCAAGTGTTATAACATCAACAGTAAGGAAAAAAGTGAAAATTTGAGGTCCTAAGCGCTAGAAGGCAAGGTGGGGGGGGGGGGACAGGGTGGGGGAAAGTGAGGCAGAAGAGAATTGTTTCAGTTTTATTACCTAGATATTTTGCCCAAAGTAAGAAAGGGAAATGAAAGGCAATTTTACTGATCTGAAGTATGGAACTCTGACATCAATTACAGAATTTCCTTCTTATTTCACTGTCTAAAGAGTAATTACTTTCACTGACTGTGGCCAATGCTATTCTCCCCCACTAAATAATCCCCTACATGCACTGGAGCCTTCATTAGACTGAATAATACATGCAAGGCAAGAGGGTGAAAGTGTAGATGAAACCATACCAATTTATTGGGAAAAATAGCTTTATATAGATGCTTATCAACAGAAAGTCTATAAGATCCCTAATATGGGAAGACTGCTTATGAACATTGACTATTTATATAGAGCCTCATTCATTACAGAATATTTTATTATATTATCTACACATTTTAATTTGAAACAAAGTGAAGACTATAGGGTGTTCATAGTGTAATAGCAAGATTATTTTCATTTGGGTGAGCATCTGTTTTCTTCTCCAATTTCCTTTAGTTATGGAAATTTAACAATCCAGGACAATTGAGGAAATGCTCTGTTGGCTCCATTCAGGGATTCTGGGTTTTAATTCAAATTCTATTCTTGTCTGTGTGTGAAATTTTGATAAGGCTCCTGACATCCTGATGCTTTAGTATCTACGTGTGAAAGATGGTGAGGGGAAGAGGATGAAAAAAAAAATCTTCTCTTCCTAAATGAAAAAAATATATATTGTAAAAATATTAAATGTCTCATACTCTCATGTTGGCAGTGTTTGAAACATGGCTGTGCCAAGTCTGAGCATGCCATGAAGGCATGGGCAGGATGTATGCCAGACCTATGATAATGGGAGAGGGTTTTGGGCTCTGACTCTGCTTCCTGTTGTCTGAATAGACATGGGGGCAATGAGAGAAAAGTGGCTGAGAGCCCAGGACAGAGTAAAAAGGAAGGCAAAGCCACAGCCACTGTGACTTGGCATGTTACCATGCTGGGATTCTCTTGTCATTATGACACTGAAGTCCAATGAGCAGCTGCTCCATTCACCTTAAATAGTATCAAAAGGGGATAACAGAGAAATGAATAAAAGTATTAGAATCCTAGTAAGTCTGGTTAGTTAGAAGCTTGTGTTTGGTAAATTGTTTGAACTAGCAGCCTGTTCATTAGTTGGTAAAGAGGAAAATGAGATTTTATTTCTGAGTGAGGCTCCATAAAAAGAGAGAGCCATTGTGGGTCAGGTGTAGGAGGTAATAAGACACTAATTATTGAGACACTCCTTAAGTAGGCAAAGGCTCATAAAAGCTCCCTCCAAAACTGGGATGGTTTCCAGCCTCAGGTAGATATAAGAGAGGCTAATTTGCCAAGATTAGCAGCATTAATTGAAAAAGAAAAACAATATTGTTGAATCTGACTCACTTGAGTTTTAGTTCAGATGCAATCAAACGCTCCAAGTCACATCAAATGCTATGTATTCATTGAAGGTTCCTATTTGTCTCTTCCAGCTTCTGCTACCTGCTCCTGGTACCTAATTTCTGCTCCTGCCTTCTACTTTCCTCCTAATGTGAGCTCAACCTTCACTTTCTCTCAGGTTCTTCCTTCTGTTCACTGGGCTGCATCCTTCTCCTACCATGTGTTCCTCCCCTTGGTGTATGTGTGTGTGTAAGAAAGTGTGTTCTGTATCTCTCTGTTAATATCCTCTTATACATGTGACGTTTCTGTCTCTTGTCTTTCCAGAATGAAAATAAGTACTTAGTCTGTTTCAAGTGTAAAAATACAGAATCCATTCTCCACAATGGAAAAAAAGATTTTCAAACTGATGTACACATCTGTCTTATTACTTTATACGATGAAAATCATGATTTGGACAGACTCTCTCCAATGGCTTCAATGGTGTTATTGTATCCAAATTGTATTTTGCATTTTAATCTGTGTTCTGCTTGCTAGTCAAGGACCAAATGGTTGTAGAGAAAACCTAATTAAAATAAAAGAAAAAAACCACATAATTCTGTGCTCCAAAGAAGACAATTTGCTGCAATACTATTGGGTCATATTTAAATACCTTTCTATGCTTGGTAAACTAGGTTGTAGACTATGTTCATTGTTTAAAATTTTCTTCTAAGTACTATGCCCCTAGAATAAGAGAGTATTACTATTAATGAAGAGTGTGACTAGCCCCTTTGTTCAATTTTGTTTTGTTTCCTTTTTTTTGGGGGGGGGGTCTGGTCGTGGGTCCTGAACCTGGGCTCTGTCCCTCAGCTCTTCAGCTCAAGGCTCTACCACTTGAGCCACAGTGCCACTTCCCTCTTTTTGCTTATGTGGTACTGAGGAATCGAACCCAGGGCCTCATGCATTCAAGGCAAGTGCTCTACCACTGAGCCACATTCCCAGCCCCTGTTTTGCTTCCTTTTTTGCCAGTATGAGGGCTTGAACTCAGGGCCTGGGAACTGTCCCTGAGCTTTTTGGCTCATGGCTAGCACTCCACCACTTGAGCCACAGCTCCACTTCTGTCTCCCTTATTTTAAAATATTATAGAACATGGGCCTTATAGGACTCTATGAGTCCTAATAAAATAGTTTGTGTCTCTTATAAATTGTTGCATTTGTGTGTCAGTTTTGAGTTGTTTAAAAATGCCATGCTTAGGGCTGGAAAGGTGGCTCAGTGGTAGAGTGCTTGCCTTGCATGCATGAGGCCCTGGGTTCAATTCCCTAGCACCACATAAGCAAAAAGAAAAAAAGCCGGAAGTGGCACTGTAGCTCAAGTGGTAGAGTGCTATCCTTGAGCTGAAGAGCTGAGGGACAGCGCCCAGGCCCAGAGTTCAGGCCCTACGACTGGAACCCCCCCCAAAAAATACCATGCTTAGCTGATTGAACAAATCAATATTATAAGCAGAATAAATAAAAGATGCTTTCCTGAGATTAAAATACCTTTACCTAATTCCCATAGCCAAATGCTCATCTTTCCCTTGAAAGTTATACTCTTGAGAATCTATCAGTATAAGTCTGTCCTGTTTTGTTTTTTGCTTTGTCCTGTTTTTTTACTTGAATCAAACTGCTATATTCTATGTCAGGATACCATTTTCTCCTAATTTCTGCCCTGTTCACTACCCTTTCTACTTGTTCCCTGACCTTAACATTTTGTATGCACTTTTTTGTGTGTATGTGATGGCTTGTCTATGTCTTTCTTTACAATCTAACCCAAGTATACATGTTCTCAGGGGCTGCTACTGAGCAGCCAGACAATTTGCAAAGGGAATTCAGGACAGGTTCTTGACTTTAAAGAGCCAGCAAATGGAATTGGAGCAGACTTAGTGTTCCAATGAGAATTGACTGACCAGCTAAAATGGCTCTTAGACATAAAGTAAAGCTTAGGCCCATCTTAACAGACAACTAAGTCATCACTCCCTGTGCTAACGTTGTCTTTTTACTTTTCCTAGAAGTTTCAGGCACCTGCACGAGAGACCTGTGTGGAATGTCAGAAGACAGTCTACCCCATGGAACGTCTCTTGGCCAACCAGCAGGTGTTTCATATCAGCTGCTTCCGTTGCTCCTATTGCAATAACAAGCTTAGGTAAGCCAGACCAAAACAGGCAGTCTCTCTGTATAGTCCGAGCTTTGACTTTTAGGGTACTGGCACTAAAAGTTGCTAATGATCTTTTCCTTTCTTTCCTTTCTTTCTTTTTTCTGGCCCTGGGGCTTTCACTCAGGGCCTGGATACTGTCCCTGTCCCTTAGTTTCTTTTCCTCACGACTAACATCCTACCTCTTGACCACAGCTTCATTTCTGGCTTCTTGGGTAATTTATTGTGTGGGCTGGCTTCAAATCATAATCCTCAGATCTCAGCTTCCTGAGTAATAAGAATTATAGGCAGGAACCACCTGCTTATACTAATGATATTGTATGGGCGGTCCCAAATAAAGTAAAAAGTACTGTTTAGTGACAAATCTTTCATAACCAATGACAGTGGTGTTTTAGACTTCTGACTGCATTCATATGTTTATTTACATGTTAAACTGAAGCTTAAATTATATGAATTGCAAGAAAAGCCTTTTATGACCTACTTCAGTAGAATGTTTCCTTTGGTATCATGGAATCATAAAGTTGAGAAAGCCCAAAGGTTATTTCTCTGAGCCCTTGCTCCAAAGTGTCCTAAACACTGTGCAATTTGTAATAATGGCAATCATTTTAGCCCCTGAAAAGCATGTATTTTTCTTTAGGTTGCTTAATTGTTATTTGTTTCAGAGGAAATAATCATTATGTATCTTTTTTTCTAAGTTGCTAAAAATAAAGATGTTCTGTGATACATAAGGGAAATATTCATTTTGTTGTTGTTGTTGTTTGCTGGTCCTGGGGCTTGAACAGTCCCTGAACTTCTTTTGCTCAAGGCAAACACTCTATCACTTGAGCCACAGCACCACTTCCAGCTTTTTTGAGTTGTTTATTGGAGATAAGAGTCTCATGGAGTTTCCTGCCCGGTCTGGCTTCAAACCATGATCCTCAGATCTCAGCCTCCTTAGTAACTAGGATTATAAGCATAAGCCACTGATGCCCAGCTTGAAATATTTCTTTTAACTAAATTCAGTTGTACAGTCTTTTTGGGGGGAGGGTGGGGGTTGTCGTGGGGCTTGAACTTTGGGCCTAGATGCTATCCCTCAGCTCTTCAGCTCAAGGCAAGCACTCTACCACATGGGCCACAGCACAACTTCGGATTTTCTTGTAGTTAATTGGAGATAAGAGACTCAAGAGTTTCCTGCCTAGGCTGGCTTTGAACCTCAATCCTTAGATTTGAGCCTCCTGAGTAGCTAGGATTACAGGCATGAATCACCAGCACTTAGCTCAGTTGTACAGTCTTAAAGGAGGAAGTAACCTAAGATGCTACTTTCCTTCCAGACCAAACAGCCCTTCTAAAACACTCTTGAAAGATGTCCTGGCATCTGCTGGTCACTTAATGATAGATACCATACCACTGCTAGATGCAGTGTTGGGCAACTCCAGCTAGATAACTTTGCTTTAATTTGAGCCAAAATCTGCCTTTGTGTCTTCTATTTTTTAGCTCTTTTTCTGCACACTGAATTTTTTACTCCAAACACATTTTTTGAGGGAAAATGCTGTCATTTCACAAATCTTTGAAGTAAGTTACCATGTAAGGGAAAATCTAAAGACTTGTCCAGCACTGAGGTTGGGTAAGATATTCCCTTTGCTGAACATTCACTGTTATATTAAACATAGCAGTAGTAACTGTTGCATGTCAACTACTTGCAAAGCATTATATCCATTCTTGTAGCATTTAAATTACAGCACAAATGGGAAATGAGAAGGAAAAAGACTTAGATTTTTACAAAGTAATGCCATTCTAAGTAGGTACAGGTTATAAATACTAAGGAAGTATATGACCAGAGCTAGTCAGGTAGGATTACCTAGGAAAGACATTCTAAAAAAAAGTTAATATTTTAAAACTTTAACAAAGGTAAATAAAATCATTTGCAAATGGAGAGCACATTCAGATAGAAAAATGATTTGTGAAGCTTTATCTTAGAAGCAAACCTGTTTTATGTAAAGATTAAAAGTAACTATGTGTACTTAAAAACTGATAGGGAATGATGTGCTTTTAAAGATATTTTTCAGGGCTGGGAAGGTGGCTCAGTGGTAAAGTGCTTGCCTTGTATGCATGAAGCCCACATAAGCAGAAAAAGCCAGAAGTGTCACTCTAGCTCCAGTGGTAGAGCGCTAGCCTTGAGCTGAAGAGCTGAGGGACAGCACCCAGGCCCAGAGTTCAGGCCCCATGATTGGCAAACACACACACACACACACATACACTCTCTCTCTCTCTCTCTTTCTCTCTCTCTCTCTTTCTCTCTCTCTTTCTCTCTCTCTCTCTTTCTCTCTCTCTCTCTCACACACACACACACAAAGATATTTTTCCCACTTAGCATCTTCTCAAAATACTGAAAATGCCAGATTTTAGCTTGAATAAGTAAATGAGAGTGTGGAATTTTGCTAACTTTGTTATTTTTTATGACAGTCTAGGAACATATGCATCTTTGCATGGGAGAATCTATTGTAAGCCTCACTTCAATCAACTCTTTAAATCTAAAGGCAACTATGATGAAGGCTTTGGGCACAAACCACACAAGGATCTGTGGGCAGGCAAAAGTGAAAATGGAGAGACTTTAGAGAGACCGGCCCAACTTCCAAATGCAGGGGAAACTCTTCAGAGCCCAGGGGTAGAAGATGCCCCCATTGCTAAGGTAGGTGTGCTAGCTGCAAGTATGGAAGCCAAGGCCTCCTCTCAGAGAGAGAAGGAAGACAAGCCTGCTGAAACCAAGAAGTTAAAGATTGCCTGGCCACCCCCAACTGAACTTAGCAGCTCTGGAAGTGTCTTGGAGGAAGGAATCAAAGTATTCAAGCCTAAATGGCCTCCTGAGGATGAAATCAGCAAGCCAGAGGTTCCTGAGGATGTAGATCTAGATCTCAAGAAGCTAAGACGATCTTCTTCACTGAAGGAAAGAAGTCGTCCATTCACTGTAGCAGCTTCATTTCGAACCTCTTCTGTCAAGAGCCCAAAAACATTGTCCCCACCCAGTAGGAAGGGTTGGAGCAGATCAGAGCAGAGTGACGAGTTCACAGGAGGAATAATAACAGAGAGGAAACAGGTGGAAAATACCAGGGTCTCTGAGAAAAATGGAAGTGTGGGGAAAGCAACCTGGAAAGACACAGAATTTACAGGAGAGGAAACAGGAAGGAGAAGTAAGGAAATTCATAATTTTGAGATGGGGAGTGAGAATTTCATAGAAAATGGTGCAGATCTAGATGTAGATGAAGATGATAGTCACCTCTTCAAACAGCAGTCTCCACTAGAGCCCAAGTCTCCAAATTGGTCCAGTGTTGTAGACAACACTTCCACTAAAGAATTCACTATAAAGAACCAGAAATCCCAGGAGGTAGGGTTCTGGGATGAAGAAGTGGTCAAAGAGCTATCTGTAGAGGAACAGATAAAGAGAAACCGATACTATGATGAAGATGAGGATGAAGAATGATAACTTAAAATAGTGCTGAGGTTTAAATTCATGTTAGTGTTAGTGAGCAACCTGCCCTTTATCAAAGTGATGCACAAAATGAGCTATCTTAGCATGAACTGTCATTTATGTGGAAACAACCTTGGAACAAATTTTTACTTAAAAAAACACAATACAGCAGCTTAAGTGAGCCAATTCTAAATGCTAGAAATAATATTACTTAAGACCTCCATGCAATGAATATATGTAAAAGAACTTATAAGCAGGGAAATATTCCAACCAATACAGCCCAGATTCCACTATATTCCCTAAAGGTAATATTAAAGTGGAGAGATAATTGGTAGTACATTTTTACACTACAAATACTATTGTGGAATTAGAAAACAAAAGAAGGGATATAGAAGTCTGAAAGTTATGACTGAATGCACTTTACTATAAAGGGCATAGTTTTTATACTTTAAAATCAATACCACTTTTCTTCTAGTATTCAATATTGAGATCAAATATTTAGTCTTTTAAATTTTTTAGTTAATTTTCTTACTCTGATATATAGGGTGAATTTATTGCCTTGCATCCTGCTCTCTACATCTTGAATTATTGAAGTATAATATATTACCTTTATAGAGTACCTTTTGAGATAATTAAAAGACAACCTGAATGCTTTGGTGCTTGAAGAGATTGTTACCCAATTAGCTATGCTATCAGCCATGGTAATGTCTATGCTTCTCACAGTTTACAGAACAACTTAAAAAAAATTTAGTCCTTGGGCTGGGAAGGTGGCTCAGTGGTAGAGATCTTGCCTTGCATGCCAGAGGCCCTGGGTTCGATTCCTCAGCATCACATAAGCAAAAAAAAAAAAAGCCTGAAGTGGCGCTGTGGCTCAAGTGGTAGAGTGCTGAAGAGCTGAAGAGCTGAGGGACAGCGCCCAGGCCCAGAGTTCAGGCCCATGACCAGACCCCCCCCCCAAAAAAAAAAAATTTAGGCCTTTAAGATCACCAGGCTCCATGTTAGGGCAAAATGAATTCAAAGGCTGGGCACGTGGCTTGCAGCTGTAATCCCAGCTACTCAGGAGGCTGAGATCTGAGGATTGTGGTTTGAAGCCAGCTCTGGCAGGAAAAGACCATGAGACTCTTAGCTCCAAAAAACTACTCAGAAAAAGCCAGAAGTGGTGCTGTGGCTCATGTGATAGATCTCTAGGCTTAAGCACAAAGAGGCTTAAGAACAGTGCCCAGGACCTGAGTTCAAGCTCCAGGACTAACAAAAAAAAAAAAAAAGAGTTCAAAGGAGGAATAACAACTGCCTTAAACCATTTGAGCTCAGACCTCCAAATGTGTATTTTACTAACAATGTCCCTTTTTTGAGACACTAATTTTTAAGTTTGTGTAGCTCTGAGGCATATTGATTTTTATAGCAAGTAGTATACACAGGTTGAAATTATACCAGAGTGAAATTAGGCTTTTTTGTGGGAGGGGGGATAGTTTTCTCTAATATTAAGGCTTTGAAGAATGATTAACTTGAGTACATTTGCTGTACATAATTAATATTCCAAATTGTATGTATCAGAGGGAGAGGTATTCTAAGGAAGAGGCTTTTCTGCATTTGTAGGGATTTCGCTGTAATATTTTTTAAAGATGTAAAGTATTCTGCTTTCTTATATTCTCCTTAGTCTGAAACATTTTTATTCAATAAAGCTTGTAATTTACAGTTAAAATTTTCCATGTTTATTATTACTTTTACGTCGTTACAATCTGAAGATCTACTTTTTTGCAGTTTGTTAGAGGCGAATGTGATTGTTGTGGAAGAAGCGATTGCTATGAATACATTTCACCACTGAGTGGTGGTATTGGGCTGATCTTGAATTTTCTTCTCTGAAGAAAATTTGTCTGGAAAACTGCAATTTGGCGAGAAAATTGATGTGTGCTTTCAAAAAGAGCTGTTTGTTTTATCAATTCAAAATCTGTTTTTTGGTTTCTTTTTTTTTTACTGTGTATTGTATCCAATGCTTATTAATTCACTATAATTATGCAAATTTCTGCTGAAGATGGTTTTTTATTCTGAGTGGAAAAATTTTTGGTTTAATTTCTTCTATAGGGGCAACTGCTACAATTGAAGAAGCTTGTTTGTTTCAGTACTGGAGTGGAAATGTGAATTTGCTTGGAGGCATCTGTTATATTCCCAGGGTCATTTTCTGTTCCAAGGTCTTCTCTGATCTTCTAGATTGACATCAGAATACCTCTTCTGTTCTTGCCTCTATCCTAATCTGAGTCATTAAAAAAAAAAAGTCCTGTTCACTGAACAATTAGTCCAGGAGCCCCTAGTGACACAAAATATCCAATCTTGTCTTGAGTTTAACTATTCTTAGTGTGTGACTGCTTATTATTCTAACTTGTCCCCCCTTGTCCATGTGGTAAACACTATACATCCTGACTTAATTTTTTTTTTAAATCTGAGTACCTCTGGATATCAGTTGAGTATGTTACTACTTATCAGTTTCTTAGGGATAAGATTACCTTTAGAATCCTTTCCTATACTTTTCAAGCGATGAGCTAGATTGTTCATTATTGCAAAGGTAAAGAGTAGCTCCAGGTTCAATATGTAATAGGACGTCCTCGTACAAGAGAAGACCAAAGTGCTGGGAAGGTGGCTCAGTGGTAGAGTGCTTGCCTTGCATGCATGAGGCCCTGGGTTCGATTCCTCAGCACCACATAAGCAGGAAAAAAAAGCCAGAAGTGGCACTGTGGCTCAAGTGGTAGAGCACTAGCCTTGAGCTGAAGAGCTGAGGGACAGCGCCCAGGCCCAGAGTTCAGGC